TTGATATTTTTCTTTTGCTTAAAATACAATTCATCACTGTGCTTTATAATTTAGATAAAATAAACATCTAATTTGTGCAGTATACATTTTAAATTGGTCAAATTAAAATTAAACTTGTGTTATAAATATATTGTTAACATATGACATTGTGGTGCTTCTGATAGGTATAATATTTTCTTTTGTTATAAAATGCATTGTATATTATCTAAATATGGAAAAGGAGAATACAATTAAATCATTCAGTAGCATTTAATTAAATAAAAAAATCTCTTGTTTTGGTATAAAAATTCTTTACCACAACAAATTCTGTGAAACTTTAATTAAACAATCTTAAAAATTGTATTTGAGGAAATAAGAATCTCCTTTTTTATGTTGTGATATAAAAATTTTGCAAAGGTGTATGTATATCTATTGTTTATAAGCGTAATATAACTGTACTTTTGAAAATGAAGACAAACTAATTACACTTGTTTTAAAAAATTTCTGGTAAGATCTTTAAACATTTGATGAAATATTTGTAGCAAGATTTCCCTAGCATTAATCTCTGAAGGATCAAAACATCTATTAGAGGTAAAATCTTAAAAATCTTTTTCCATAATTACATGTCACGATTTTACTACCAGCATAAATTGTTTAAATTTTAAATTTGCAAATTTTTTATTTTATTTGAAATTTATACACCTACACTGAAATTTGAAATTGTTTAAAATATTTCTAATTGGCTATGCTGCAAAATGTTACAAACAAAAAATTCAGTGTGTGCATTAATTATTGTGCTTTCGAGTAATTACTTAATGTCTCCATTTTCCATGTCGTTTAGTGTAGCAAATCCTCATTAGCAAGGAACAAGACAGACATTTCATTAAAATTAATTTGATATCACTTTCATTGGTTTTTAAGTTTTCTTTTACAAAATTATTTTGTTTGCACGAAACATAAAATTATAGTTGTTTAGCTGCAATTCCCAGAAGAAGTTCAAAACAAATTCAAATATTTTTGATGAATTTTCCAACTAAATTTCAATCAATTAAAAAAAAATGAAATTAATAATCTTGCAAAATTTAGAAAAAATTTAATATACTTCAAATTGAAATGTAATTGTTTGGTTTTGCTGATGAGGTTCTTTTTCCTTCTCTTCCGGTGTAAACAATATTTTAAACAGTTCAATTATTTTACTTTTTTTTTTTGTCTCACAAAAAAATCTGGCTGAAGGGATTAATTATTTAAATTTTTTAAGTAAGAATTTTAAATAATAATTGTAACATAATTTTAACTTAATATTATTGATGTAGTTGTTTTCTAACAGACAAAAGCCCCAAATTTCAATAACAATTATAAAAACCTAAAAATAATAATTATGAATATAAAAGCTCAGTTTGAAAAATTGTATAAAATTATATAAACAATTTTAATCTATATTTTTTTAATTAAAATAATAATAATTAATTGTATGAATTGCATTTGTGTAAACAAATAAGGCTCAGAATTGTTATTGTAATTATAAGTATATAAATTCATGATTAAAATAATATTTGCCTTTAGTTTTACCTGAAATTTTTCCAAAAATATAAATAATAATGAAAATAAATATCTACTAAATTAAAATTATATTATTCATTCAAAAATTAAATATTAAATATAACTAATTATAAATAATAATATTTTTAAATAATAATGAACATGAATAAAAATATCATATTAATGAATAGTATAGACTTATCTATAAGCTATGTATCATAAAGTAATGTGAATTAATCATAAAATAATATATAAAGTAAAAGAATAATATAACTGCCCTTCTACTGATTTGAGACATTAATATTGTGATGTATGACCTTTTCTACCAAGATTTTTCATAAATTTTCATAATAAAATTAGTCTTATTAGAAAAAAAAAATTGTTTACAATTATGTGTCTATAGATGAAAGACTCAAAGATGGAAACTATTTCTTTATAAATTTTAACAAAAATCATTAAAAAAAATCTATTTTTTCCATCAAATTTTCAAAATTGCAAACCTAACATGTTTTCGGGAAAAATTTTTTTTTTTTTTTTTTAAATTCAAAATTGCTTAACACAATTAAAATGTGTGATTAAATGTAAAACAATTTCATTCTAAATTGTAGTATTATTGCATTTTGCTGTACAAATGTAAATGACTTTTAAGTAGGTGGTCATGCATCACATTTTTATTGTGTGTATCAAACTACAAATACTATATAGTAAGTTAGTTTAATTAAATGAGAAAAAATGCATTACATTGTTGGGAAGAGTAGCAACTGAGTGGTACCACACGTCATCACCAACTTGAGATAGTGATGCAGATGATGTTGAGGAGGAGCAGTTAAAGATGGCACCCAATGACAGTGATGAAGAACCAGATGTTTGGAAAGATGGTAAGATTTTCTCTTTGTATATTTCACATTGACAAATCACTGATGTAGGTAGTGTAAACTGAGATTTAATGTACTGTGTACCGATAACAGGCAGTGAGGTTTGTTTGACGTTTTGCATGTGTTTAAACTGCGGGCAGTGGGCGCATGCAAAATCAACCAGTTCTGCCAGTGGCCAAGATTCTTTTTGGCTATGTGTTTTTTTAGCCTGTGGGTTATTTGCTTTATGCTTACTGTGTTAATACTTTAGTTTGTTCTTCATCTATAAACATGGGCAGTCCTTGTCGCTCATAAAGCAATTCCATGTTTTGTCTAAAATCTTGAATGTGGGGTCTTTTTGCCAGTGCAGACAGTTATTTTTGTGGAATGTGCCTGCAAGCAAAATTGCTGGCATTGCTTGAGATGTTACTGTATTTATTGTATTTTTTTATTTAAAAAATAACTTGTAAATTAGACTTGTGCAGATACAGTTTTCTTCAGTTATGTAATTTTTTATAATTGTTTGTTTTTGCAGATCCACTGTCAATTCTCGAGTCACTGTGATTGGTGAGGCAGCTGAAGTTCTTGTTGATAATCCTTCACCCGTAACACCTGATAGACAACAACTGGTATCTTTGTAGATTAACAGTGATATTTTGTACACATTGTTAAAGTGGAATTTCAAATAGATGTGTAAATTATATATAAAAATTTCAAATTTTAATTCAATCCATTGATCAAATTTAAATTACATTAATTGTAAGCTGTTCCAACTTCCAATTCTTTTTTTAAACATTATGGTTAAATTCTAATTTTTAATTTCGAATCCAATACCAAATTAACAAGAATTCTAAATTTGTTTTTTCCTGTAATTATAAAAGTATATTGACATGAATTTTCTTTATTATTTGCAAAATTTTAATTGCTTTTAATCAAATTATTAAATTCATTTTGGAGAAACTTCTGTTTTACTACAACTATGTAAATTGTTAAATCCAAAATCTGTTTTATGAAAAAAATAATTTTGAAATTCCACTTCCTTTTATCCAATTGTTATAATAATTTGTAGTTTGATGCATGCTATGGTTTTT